TGGCAACCCAGGATGGTGCTCCTGGGCAACCGGGAGGACATCCCACCAAATTGGTCCTCCTATGAAAGGAACCTCTTTCAAATCACAAGACTGGAGCTGATGATAGCCTGGCGAGCCCGCTGCTCATTCGAACGAAACCATCATACGTTCGGGCTCCCGCAAGCCAAAGAACAAATCACAAACTATTTGACAGCCAGGGTGAAAGCAGCCTGGGACCACCTCCGAAACCGGATACGGCTGATCGACGACGACCCGACCCTCTCCCCTCACGCCAAGACACAGAAAACAATGGAAATGACGGATCAGTTCTCGGACGACTGGCTAGGTCCGATGAGAGTGATTGCATATATCCACGATTCGCAGATATCCTGGAAACACTGGAGGCGGAACGAAAATGGTTGGCCCTACAAACTGCTGTCTCACTTCTTCGTCCCCTACACAGCCTCCCCCCCCTCCTTTGTTCTCCTCCCCAACTAACCCCCCCCCTTCAGACCCCCTCCCTGGCAGAATTGCTGCTGCAAGGCGCATGAGACCTCAGCAGAAAGAAACAAGAACCGGGGACAGCTTTGGACGGGAACGGGTCTCTTGCGATGGGGACAGGGAAGGACAAGATGTGATCATGGCGCAGAGCTTCGCACGGCTGCGGGCCTCTTGGGACAGGGACAGGGATGGCCAAGACGTGATCATGGTGGAAATCTAAGCCCGACTGGAGGTCCGTGGATCGACAGGTGCAGTGGGCTGTCGGCTCAGTATGACACCACGGTTTTCGACTGCTGATGGAGGAGGTTTCGGAATCCCTCGGAATGCCCCGGACGGAAAGCAACATGAGGGCACCAGCGATAAACTGTGCGGCTGCAGGAGTTTGGGGTGGCCTGGGTCTTGCAGTGCATTGCTTGCCCCTTTAGGGTCTCAGTCAGGGGGTAGGGTCTTCAAAGGTTTTGATGTCTGGGTTTACCCATGCTGTCAGAATGCATGTGCAGTCTTCAAGGGTTTAGGGGGGGATTTGGGGATGTCAGAATGTCTGGGTTTATGGTGTCAGAAAGCATGTGCGGTCTTCAAGGGATTTGGAGGGCCGCCACACAGCAACAACTAAAACAACGGTGCTGCCTCGCTTCGTCTGTGCTGCTCCAACAATACTGACTTTCTATTGTCCTGTTCTGTGTTGCTGTGTCCCACTATACTACACTGGGCCCGTTATGGACAGACTGATTTCCGGGCAAACTGATTGCGGGTTTAGAATTTGAAATAAGGGGGGCTGCAGTCACCAAGGGTGGGAGCTCATCCATTGCCTGCAGGACGGGCGTAGTCATTGTGCCACAGCGGGAACCATCCAGGGTGAGGCTAGGCCAAGGGGAAGTGGGAGCATTTCAAATTGGAAGGGTGTCATATGCAGCCCTGGGGTAGAGAAGGATGCTCTGGTGCATGATCTATGATGGCCATACGCCCAATAAACACTGTCCCAAAAGATGTATCTAAGGGACGCTGGACCCGATTTCCAGCAGGTGCTGCTCGCCACCGAGCCTGCCCGACGGTGCTAGATGGGTCTGCTCTTATCAGCGCACCTAGCATCCTTTCCAGCAGGTGCTGCTCGCCACCAATAGATGGAGCCTGCCCGACGGTGCTAGATG